TCTCTCATTCTCTCTGTCTCAAATAAATAAATAAAATCTTTAAAAAAAAAAAAAAAGACTTCAAGGAGAAAGAATTTAGGCTAGGCTTTGAAAAGATTGGTTAGTTTCTTCATTTGAAGACAAGACAGGGAAAGAGTAAAACCACAGAGGTATGAAAGAATTAAAGAAATAACAAAATTGGACAGAGAAAGCATTCTCTACCACCTCCCTTCTCCCTCCCCACCATAACCATTTGCTTACTATGGGAAATACTACAGCTGTATGAATGCTGATGGGAAAGACGCAGTAAAGAGGGAGTCTGTAGATGCAAGTGAGAGACAGGATAACCAAAAGATCAAGGTTCCTAAGAATTCAGAAAATGGATGCAGAGCACCTAGACCTGACAGGAGAAGGGAGAAGCAGTTGGCTACACCTATGCTGAAGTTATACCAAATCAGAGGTGAAGGGCTGATGGTACAGCATATTTAAGAAAATTACTAGAATGATAGACCTTGTAATCCAAATTAGAGAGAAGTAAAGACAAGACCTAATGAAGAAACAATAGGAGCCAGTCAACTGAATAAGGTTTTGATGAAATTCAAGAACTAATGCAGGGATTTGTTTAACATGATTGAACTGACTGAATACATTTGTTTGCAAGGTCCCTTCCAAAAATCTACTAAAATCAGAGTAAAGAGATTTTTTAAAAAGGGGGGGGGGTGTTCCACAAGGACAAAAAGAATGGAAACATGACTGATATTAACAAAACTGTGAAAACTAGAATGCTTATGGAGGAGTTAACTGTCTTAGCAGGTCTAAAAAAGTTGAAACTTTTTCAGAGGAAGGACAGGATGAGAAAGGGGAAGCCAAGGGGGCAAAATGATTCACGTTGCAAAATCTCAGGGAATTTAAAGTACCAGGTACAAGAATTAAAAGGTACACTTGAAGGCAGATGCACAGGTGGAACAAAAAACAAAGGAGTGGGTTCAAAATCTGTAATAAGCAGTTAGACTGAGATCTTCCCCGTGACTTAGTGGCCAGGCTACTATCCTCCCACCATCACAGAAGACTCAAGATTTACTTTGGAAAGACTGATACAGAGGGACTCTGCACTCTTAGCCAACAGACCCACCTAAGGACAAGAATATCATACTGGGGCACCCGGGTGGCTCAGTCGGTTAAGCGTCTGCCTTTGGCTCCAGTCGTGATCCCAGGGTTCTGGGACTGAGTCCCGCATCGGGCTCCCTGCTCCGTGGAGAGCCTGCTTCTCCCTCTGCCTCTGCCTCTCTCTCTCTCTCATGAATAAATAAATAAAATCTTTAAAAATAAATAAATAAAGCCTACATACATAGTGGTAAGATCCATTCCCTGGTTCATTCTCCCACCTGCACTGGCAGCCCCATTTATATGCAGAGGATTGCTCTTAGGATAAAAGTGGTCCAAGAAAAAAAGACCAACAGAAATATAAGAGAGAAGGGGTAAAGGTTCCCTTCTCAATTAGCCATCAAATAAGGGAGTAATCCAAGAAAAGATCATGGGATCCAGGATTCAATGCACCTAACACAAGAAAGAGAATGTAATTCCCTAGGAGGGTTTAAATAGAGATCCCAGGACAATAATTATGCAACAGACCTGGAGAATAACAAGGTCAGATCGAGCAGGAAGATAGAGCCCTCTAGGGAGAGGTTTTCTTCTACCAAAAAAGGAAACATTACCAATCTGAACATACTAAGAGGATATTTACATACTCACAGAGGGTTTTGAACAAATTATTACAGATATACAGAAGATGAAGCAAATGTGAAAGAAAGAAAAAGGTAATGACTACCACCAGGAAAAAAAAAAGTTGCACAAAAAAGGGAAAAATTACCATGTTATATATGCTATGTGGTTCACAATGTGTGTTGTGTATATTTAACAAAAACTGATATAACTATGTTTAGAGAGATGCAACAGAAGAGAAGACGGAGGGAGTCCAAATCTTCATCTTTCACAGAAGAAAGTCTAAACATAACTGCTCTTTACATCGTAGGACTTTTTCTTGTAAAATCTCCATTTTATAACTTTTTAAAGTTTTAAAAGTTTATTTTAAAATATTTTAAGTTTTAAAAATACAACTACGTGGGGTGCCTGGGTGGTTCAGTCATTAAGTGCCTGCCTTCAGCTCAGGTCATGATCCCAGGGTCCTGGGATCAAGCCCCGCATCAGGCTCCCTGTTCTGCGGGAGGCCTGCTTCTCCCTCTCGCACTCTCCCTGCTTGTGTTCCCTCTCTCGCTGTGTCTCTCTGTCAAATAAATAAAATCTTAAAAAAAAAAAAAAAAAACTACATTTTTGGGGGGGGGGTTGATTTTTGGTTTTGTTTTTTTATTGAGAGAGGGAGCATGTGAGCGAGAGGTCGGGGAGCTAGTAGAGGGAGAATCTTAAGCAGGCTCCCTGCCCAGTGCAGAGCCCCACGCAGGGGCAGGATCTCACGATCCTGAGATCATGACCTGAGCCAAAATCAAGAGTTGGACACTTAACCGACTGAGCCACCCAAGTGCCCCATAACTTTTTAATTTTGATAGAAATTAAAATTATAGATTTCAAAAAATTTCAAAAATTATAGATTTCAAAAAACGCCTACTATATAAGGTTACTTGAATCCCTAAGCAGCAAACTAGAAGAGTGGGTTGTGATCAGAGCAGATATCTGAGTTAGTGATATGGGGGGCTGGTGACTTTTTTTTAAAGTAGGCTCCACACCCAGTGTGGAGCCCAGTATGAGTTTTAAACTCACCACCCTGAGATAAAGACCTGAGCTTAACCAACTGAGCCAGCCAAGCACTCCCCGCCTTTTATTTTAAGTAAGCTCTATACCAGCATGGGTCTTGAACTCATGATTGCAAGATCAAGAGCCACATATTCTACCAACTGAGCCAGCCAGGCACCCCCAGGCTGGTGACTTTTTAATAATGACAAGATTCAGGTTGTGACTGTGTGACCATGTAGCTGAGTTAGTGACTTGAGTTGGTGGCTTTTTAGTAATGAAAAGATCCAAGATGTGACAGTGTGATCACGAGGCTGAGAAAAGGAGGTAAGGGAATTAAGGGCTGAAATGTCAGCTGAGTTGTGAATCCTGATGCTGAAGTTGCCTAAAAATGATGTGTTTTTAGGTCCACTTTTCCACCCTTCCCTACTGCTTTTTGCCCCACTATGCTGACCTATATGGACTATATCAACAGGTTCCAGTGTCCCCTAGCTTCTGTTTGGGTTTGCCCAAATAAGAATCCCAGGAGTTTAGGGGAATAAGGTCAATATATTTATTCCTCCAGACCGTCTCCTCTCAAGGCAGCCAACTCCACACTTTCCTTCGGAGTTCAAGTAACTACTCCCTCTCCTATTCCTTCCTGCCTATGGATGTTAATCAGTCTGGCTACTGGTTACTTCATTATCTCTTGTGGTACCACATTATACCAGCACCTTTATAAACAATACTTTTATAAAATAAGCCCTCCTTGAATTATTCTATTACAAGTGTGCCATCTGTTCCTGTTGGGACCCTTACTGTAAATAGTAATAATGATGATAATGTAAGGTTGTAACAGAGAGTAGTGGCAAGTAAGAAGAGTGACTACCACTTAAATAACAATTACTAACATATCTTAAACTCTGGGTTCCAAGAACTTTTCTAAGCTTTTTGCAGATATTAACTCATTTAGTCATCACAAATATATTATGTGGCAAGCAGAGATTTTTGTCTGGTTCATTTGCATATACCAAAGCCTAGCACAGTTGCTGGTACAGGGTAAGCACACAAATATTTATTTTAAAATACACACAACAAAAAGCAAGTTTAGTAGGGAAGAGATGACTTTTAGTATGATGTATCAGATTTATAACTCCCCAAAAACTAAACACTAAATAAGAGCACATGTGAATGATTTTCTTGTGTAGCCTACAGTGAGTCTTATTCCTTTATCTTTTCCCATGAGTTTATCCAGAACTTGGGATCCCCAAATTTTTAAATGTAATATCTAAAGCCAAAGTTGCAAAATTTTAAATATCAGTTATTAGTTTTAAAAAAGAAAGGGGAAGGAGTATCAGTTATTAGTTTTAAAAAAGAAAGGAGAAGGAGTAAACTTTAAAAATATGCTTGGGAATATAAAATGCAAAAATAAGAAAGTCAGCAAGATCACCAAGTATACACACACATAGAAATAAAGCACAGAAAAAGTGAGTATGAAATTTAGAGGAAAGTTAAGACACGTGAATCAAAGAATGCAGAAATACAATAGGTCTAACAGGTTGAAATTAAACCCCTAACTGGATGTTCACACGGTCATATGGAATAATCAAGGCAGCTATGGATACCAATATCTTATAAAGAACCTAAAGTCAAGGAAAAAAACAAGGTTAGGGAACAAATATGCAGCAAGATGTGAACTAACTGCAAGGATTTTCAACTGGTATTTTTCTCTTTACATCACGTTGTACTCCAAAACACGGTGGAAATTCGCGTGTAAAAGAATCTAGAAACCTGAGAAGTTTCGAGAATAATAGATTCAAACTATCACTGTTACTTAATGAAAAATCAGTAAGGCACACTAAGGTGCAAGGCTACGACTGGGATGGAATTGCCAGACGCGAACACTGGGACACCGAGAGGAGACGGATAAAGCATCCGTAAGTGGAAGATGGAGAGAGACTGGGACTGGATTTGAAGGAAGACTAAACGCGAAAGCAGGGCCTAAGAAGCAAGGAGCAAGCGTAAAACTTAAACAGGACCAGATCGATACCACAAGCGAGTACAGGACCTACAAATCTGATTGTACGGGGTGGGGAAAGGGCCAGTTCGCGACCGACCAGCTGCGACTAGTTTCCGAAAAGCGGCATATATGTAGCCTCGCAGCCCCACCCCGCGGCAGCAGCTCCTCCCTAAGGAGCATCTCACGAGGCCAACCGCCCGGCTCAGGATCCAGCTCGAGCCTAGGTCCCACCCCGCCCTTGCCCCGCGGCGCAGAACGGCCTCTCTGGGCCCCTCACCGAACGCTGCAGCTCTCCAAGCCAAAACGAGGCGCGCTCCTTTCCGCTGGGATCTGGGTCGTGGTAAAGCGCCTGCACTGCTTGGTATACGAGCTGCAAAGTCGGCTTTGCCCCTTCCATGGTGGTGGCAGTGGTAGCGACAGCGACGGCTCTGGCTGTTCTCCCGAGGCTTCTCCGGTTGCTCCGCCTTCAAGCTTCCTCACTGTGTCGGCCACGGCCGCTCCCTGACTGGCGCCATCTCCTCTTTGGCCGTTACCAGGGCAGAGGGGTTCCCGTGGAAGTTGCCCCCTCGGAAACAGAGGTTAGATTGTATTTGGGTTCCCGGCTTTTTTTCCTATCCTCCCACTAGACTCCAGACTTCTGAGTTCAGACGCCGATACTCTCCTCTTCACCCACTGAATTGCCTTCAGAAGTCTGTCCCCGCGCTACACAAACCACGCAGTGTACTTAAGCGGTGTTAACCCGGACCGGAAGTCGCAGCACCGGTACCTTTGGCACACTTCCGCCCGGTGCAGCGCAAACGGCCTTCTTCCCGGCACGCCTCCTCCTGTCTCCCCGCCCCCTCCCGGAAGTGGCCCTGCCGAGCCAGGAGCTGGGAAGAGGCAGTCGGTTGTGGTTCTCTCCGTTACTTGCGTACGACTGGAGCAATAGGACCAGTGTGTTCCATACCTGAGCTGCTCTTCTCTCCTTGGCAGTGGGTCCAAGGTCTTTCCAACCCCCTTCGGACTTCTCCATTCCTATCCAGGGAATCCTTTCTGACGCCCGTGGACAAGGCGCCTCAATTCAACCGTCCGTGCAGTGTCCACCGTACTGGAAATGCAAAGATAACTGAAGACAGGGTTTCTGTACTGACTTTGGTGGATGAGACAGACACGTAATGTACAAGTAATGTACAAAACTGAAATATGTGCCACACTGAGATGAACCCAAAATGCCTACGATCTCTGCTCAGCCCCTTGTCTACTAAGTTCTTAGCCCAAAAAGGTATTTTATTCTATTGCTCAGGACACTCTGAACTCCATGGTATTTACATACATCTTTAGGATCATTTCCACATTGAGGGGCGCCTGGGTGGCTCAGTCATTAAGCGTCTGCCTTCGGCTGGGGTCATGGTCCCAGGGTCCTGGGATCGAGCCCCGCACTGGGCTCCCTGCTGGGCGGGAAGCCTGCTTCTCTCTCTCCCGCTCCCCTGCTTGTGTTCCCTCTCTCACTCTCTCTTTCTGTCAAATAAATAAATATTTTTTAAAAAAAGGATCATTTCCACATTGAATTGAATTTTTGTGTATGTCTTTCCAAATCAAAAAACAAAGGTCTGACAATTCTCAATTCACAAAAGAAAATGGTAATCTTGGAATCTGCACTCTGAAGAAATTTTGGACAAAAGTATGTTAATGGATTTCCCAACATTGCTGCTAGTTCTTTGCAGTAATAAATGCACTATTTGATGAATGCTTACAATGTGTAAAGCACTGTAGTTAAAAAATCTGATTTAATCCTTTTGACAGCTACACCAACTAAATCCCCATTTTATAGAATAAGAAGTAGGTAATGTACTTTGCCCAAGGTTATACAGTTCTTAAAGTCAGGATTTGAATCCAAATAGGTTTCACTACCATGAAGCCTGTTAAATAATACAATTCCTATCAGCCTGTGTATTCGTTTCTGAATTGTTACTGTCAACAGATTTGAATTGCCAACATCATAATGAAAACAGTGCTACTGCACAGAATTGATATGATTTCAGACAAAAGAAAAGAAACGTGATATTCTGGCAACCTAATTCATCCATTCATTCAGAAAAAATTTAGTAAGGGACGCCTGGGTGGCTCAGTTGGTTAAGCGTCTGCCTTCGGCTGAGGTCATGATCTCAGGGTCCTGAGATCGAGTCCCGTATCGGGCTCCCTGCTCAGTGGGGAGCCTGCTTCTCCCTCTGCCTTCTGCTCCTCCTGCTTGTACTCTCTCTCTGACAAATAAATAAAATCTTAAAAAAAAATTTAGTAAGATCATTTTGGTCTCTGCCCTCATGGAGTTTATAGTCTAATTGCAAAGAAAGACCAGCCATACAGTTTAAAAGTTCTGTGAATATTCACAAGCTAAAGAATGATGTTGGACCTACCTTGCACATAAATGAAAAAATAAATCCCAGAACCTAAATGTAAGAGCTAAAACTATAAGACCCTTGGAAGAAAACAGGACTATATCTTCATGATCTTGGATTAGGCAATAGTTTCTTAGATATGGCACCAAAAGTACAACACCAAAAAGAAAAACGGGTAAATCAGACTTCATCAAAACTAAAAACTTTTGGGCGCCTGGGTGGCTCAGTCGTTAAGCGTCTGCCTTC